TAATATAACTAATATAACCAATTATTTTACGTTGGCTTGAAATCCTAACCTCTTAAATTAATTTTCTTACTATACAAAAATAAATTAAATATCTTTAACGTATTGTTTAATTTTTTAAAGCCTTTAAAATAAAAAAAAATTAACTATAAAAACCTAACCTACTACAATCATATTTTTATCTTTGTTTTTAAATATTAAATAACAGATAACAAACTGAACTGAATGAACAATGGTTTGTCTAAAGATCAATATTCTATGAATATACAAATCATATACTATAAAAATAATGTGCTTATCAAATTTATTAATGTACATATAAGAGTACACTTCATTAAATATATTAATTAAATGCATTTTATTGATCATAAATACTTTATTTTACTCAATACTTACTACAGTAGGTGTAAAAACGATTATAATAATCGACGCTAACAAGAAAAAAAAACTGTAAAATAAACTAGCGTCTAAATTCACTCATAAATTAAATATCAGCTATTACAAACAAGTTAATGTTACATATAGTAAGTTATTAAATTATCGCTATAATAATCACAAATTAAATTCATTAGTTTAAATAACGGGTCTTAATCCATCACAGTTTATGCTAAATTAAACAATGAAATAACAAACTATAATGGTAATATCCCGCTTTATAAAACTACGTATATTATCGTATGATTAAGAAAATTCAATTTTTTTTTCATTATACAGTGCGATTAGCATATTTATGGGGTTTCGTGTATGTAAAACCATAATTACATACAAACAAGTAACTTATATTATGGGTTACATTAATTAAAACAGGAGGCTGAATATCGCACTAACGATTTTAATTTCTGTTAGATGGATAAATTAGATTAGGTAAACCTTTATAGATTTACTTTTATTGTTACCACAATATTCTCGTTTAACAGTTTAAAAATTAAATTTAGCTCAGAAAAGTTAAAATAAAGAAAATAATTAAACATAATAATATTTGTTTTGCTATTTATTTTAAATAACAATTCAATAAATATAATCATATTTTCGTTATTTTTAATTTTTTAAACAAAAAAAAAAAAAATCTTATCTAAAAATAATAATAAATATTGCATAGATAAAATAATAATAAAAAAACTGACAGTAAATGGATGCCATCTAAATTGAAACATATAAATAAAACGTCAACCATCATAAAGATGGGGAGTTATTATGATACAATTTTTGCATATGAATAGTATATTTTATTTTGTTAACTTGAATATTATTTTATTTAAATATATTATACATTTATTTGATCAAATATTCTTATGTCATCGTATTCATACAGTTTTTCAGTTACGGACTAGGGTTGAAAAAATAAGATCAGGACACATGGTTACGTATTGTATATTAAGAGACGGTTATAACTTGAAATCATAAATAGGAGGATAATTTTTTTACTTACACCCATATCGTACAATACACAGTAAGGCACAAAGAAGACTTATACATGACAAATTAGAAAAAAATCGGACTCATCTTTCTCTTTCTCTTTCTGTGCCACACTAGTCAAAAAACATAATTCGATACCCCATATGAACATTTTATATTGGGTAAGTGGATGATCATATTTATATATGAAACGTTATCCGTAACACACACACATACATATATATTACGTATATTCTATGCAAGTAAACGAAACGCTTCCTTCTGCAATTGGATTTCATCAATAAATGGCCCTACTGCAATATCTTGAACATATCTCGGGAAGCAAATGTATATTTACGAGTATGTAATGAAATAGTTCACCTCTAATGTACAGGACGCTGTAGAGATAATAACATCCAAATCACAATAATCATAATAATTTATTATGAAAAATAAAAAGCGTTATATCATATGTTCAAGCTAGGAAGTTTTTATAGATAAATTTATCAATAATTTTGCATAGATGTTTGCCAATAATTGAGCTTCCGATAAAATTTCGAAACAGAAAATAACGTTATTCGACAATTTGAACCACTAGAAACGAGATCATTAGGGTTAAACCAGAAATTATATTTTTACTTGCATAAACTTATAAAAATATGAAAATATGTAAGGTAAGGTATATGTAAGATAAATGTTTACATATGTAAATTCTTGTACGAAAAAAAATAATGTACCGATACGTAAGTCCCTACACGAACAAAAGTACATATTTCATGGCTGAAAAACTACATAATAATAAAATAAACAAACTTTACAATTACTTAGTGATAAATTATACAGAGGAAAATAGTACTTTGCTCTCTTACATTTAGGCTAGTGCTACTTCTTGTAAAAAATTTACTACAAATGATTGTGAAAGTTTTCACTTCGAATTCAATTCAAATGTTTATCATCATCATCTTAATACATTCAAAATAATAGAAGTCTTAAAAATGTTTTGACCAAATATATTTATTAAAATAAGAACGTCAGATACCAATAAACCTCAAAAAATAAACAAAACAAACAAAATTTTATAAACAATAAAATATTTAAATACAACTTCAAATAAATAACACCATATGATTATGTTAAAAGTTTGAGTTTTCGTAGGTAATAAGCACAACAAATAAAATAAAACACGACAAAAAATTGAATTTATATTATTATTGTTATTATTATTACCATTATAATTATATATATATTATTATATTAAATACGTATAGTATTTGGATAACTATACATTATTATATATGGACAAGATTCAATTAAAAATCGGATCAAATTTTTCTATAAAACATAAAAGAAACAAATTTTAATCATACTAATTACGTTATCAATCGTAAGTTTGAAAAAAATATTATAAAAAACAAATTAATTAAATAACAATATAAATATTATTATTTTTATTATGTTTTAAACTAAAACCGTTTTGCCTTAATTCAATAAAATATATAGGATAATTAAAAAGATATAACTTGAAAATATAAAATTTTAATGTATTAATTTTAAAAATATTATAAGTATAGAATAAAATTTAAGATTTACACTCTAACAGTGTTTAAAGTATGTATGAAAATAATTAGAATCAAAAGTAAGCAAATACAAATTTGTAAATAATTTATTTTGTTATCTTAATACAAGTCCATACACAATTCAAATTGAAGTAGGTATTGATAATGATATTGATATTATGTAAAAATCATATATCATTTATGTACCAAGATATGGTAAATTAAATAATGATATTAATTAATTTCTTGTTGATTTTCATGCTGAGGAATGTATGTTATATATTTTATCCTAAAATTATCAAGGGTGAAAAGGCGAGAGTCGAATATTCTAGTACGAGATTGTTAACCAGTTTAATTGATTGTGAAGGTTAGAAAAATTAGTCTTGAAAGTTAAAAACACATTTCTATTGCTAATTTGTAAATAATAATTACATTTTTACATCCATATTGTATTATTATTTTAAATTTGAGAAAATATTACCTTTAAAATAATAATGTAATTAAAATATGAATAATTGAATTGACTAACCAAATATTATATATTAAAATATATAAAATTATAAGTGTATTGTGATACGAAATCACAAATAAAAGTAAAGAAAATGGGTGGTCGATGTAAATAGACGGAAAAGGATAGGACAATTTTAAAATCAGTTAACCTTGATTAATATAATTAATTTAAAATAGAAAAATGCAGTTTAAGTTTAAACCATAGTTGCATTTTTAAATAAAAGTTACAATGAACCTATGTTTGATATAATGACATCACCGATTTGAAAAGAACAAAAAGCTCAAGGCCAAATTTTTAAACAAAGGCTTTGGCTGAGAGCCATTTTAAATTCATGTCACGGTTGATATTATTCAGAGTAATTTTGGTAGTTAAAATAAAAAATATGCACATTAGTCACAATCACAACCCTACAATTGATGACTTTCTGGTGAGAATAATATTAATTGTTTATTTCGATAGGTAACTAAAATAAGAACTATAATTTATGTCAGAGATAGTATAGTATAGTATAAATGGATCTGATTACTTGGAACAGAAAGCAAATCGGGCAGCAAAATAAAAACTTATGCTTACATGAGATAAAAAAAATTTATCATATAATTAATATTGTAAAACTTAAGAGACATACACGACTTTATATAATATATAACTATTTATTGATTTTGACACTGCGATGTTTTATGGTGGAATAAATTATTCAAATGGATATACAAAATATTTTATACACATATTGGATGTGCAGTTCGTTTTAACTGGGTGATTTCTGATATTCATAAACGGGAATAGTTTTATGGAATAGCTTTTTCATCACAATTTCAATCATATTTTGAATAAGTTTGAACATAAATACAGTCAAACAGAATATGCGATTCGTTTTTTCGAGAAATGATCGTCTATGAACAAAGTTATGTATATTAATTTCCATATAGCATATTATATTTTTTTTTTATGTAACAGGCATGAATACGATTCACTAAACTCGTGATCATTTATTATTTATCTTATCGTGGTACTTTAGTACACATATTAATGAAAAAGAAAAATTCCACTACTAGTATAATAATCTTATTATGCACCTTGCACAAACGGGAAAACATATTAAAAATGGATTATATTTGTGATTAGTAACATACTTCAATAATTCACATGCGAATTATAGGGCTAAATAAAAAAATAAATAAATGTTTTCGATTAAATATATTTGCCAACATAATTTAAATTAAAGACTCATAAGTAGGAATGTGGGTACATAAAATCCTACCTGTACATAATTAAATTCAAAATTCAATGATATAAAAAAATGTTATGTCTCATTCCAATAACCAAAAGTTTGTATGAATGAACTATAACATACTTAAAATAAAATATATGTAAGAAAAGGGTAATTAGAAAATGTTTTCAAAGTTTAAAGTATTCGAATAAAATGCATTTATTCAATTTGGTGTTTAGTTTAGCAATTGCACGATAATACAGTTTAACCTCGAAAACTAAAATTTGCTGATTATGAAAAAATGAGCAATCAAAAATATAACAAAACTTACGGTAGTTGGATTGGGATTGTAAGATGTGTATGGTGACATGGTGGTTTGTGTCACGGGACCGGTTCCGTAACGGTACTGCTGTGTTGGTAAGGGCGCTGAGTTCCAACCAGTTGTTGCTCTGTGATGATACTGTGTAGGGGCGCCACTAGCATAATTGCCGGTCATACCGGGGGGGCCACTGTGATGACCTGGAACCGTGCCTGATTTGCCACCAAAATTCGTGTTGTTCAACACTTGGTTACCACCGGTAGTATTGTAACCACTGGCCAACTGCGTACGCTAAACAACAAACGCAAACATTATTATAATTTCAAATTTATTTTTGTAAGTTTTTGCAAACTAATATTTCCATGCATTATATTTGATATTTTAAGTTCTGAATATCATATAAATAATCATGTATAAATGTGATCGAATATTGCTTTCGTGATAAAACATATATATTTAACGCACAAGCACACACTATACTGCTTCCGGTCTGATCAAGGTCGATGACACTAGTATACGTGCATTTTGCGGATGTACTCCCACACCATCCCTTCGTCTACACAATTTAAACGAGCAAGATATCTTTTATAAGTTATAAATATCAAACAATGACTATAATATTGGCACATTGACTTTTTTTTTTTTTTATATATATATATATATATAAATATAACCTAATTAATGAATATTTACACCCATTTCACGGAAATAGTAATTTCTAATAAAATTAAAAAGCCACTACAGTCGACAATAACAAATTAGTAAATACTATGAGATTCATAACATCATAAATCTTTACTATAAAAATGTAGTTGTATTTTTATCAGAACTAGTACGATAAAATAACTATAAATATTTAATAATAGAATTTTAAATTAAAATATTAATAATATCTATATGTTTTTCTCGTAAACAAATAAGTTAATAAGTAAAACAACCAGTACCAATTAGTGTACTTTTACACGCATACTACTATTGAATAGTACTTCACTATAATTTTTCTATATATTTTCACATAATCTCAAATTAATTATCAGACTGGCAAGAATTATGATCTGTACCTAAACGACGGAGTTTATCGAAAAACAAATGAGTCATTTATTTTACATTTACAAGTTGTACATATTATCCAACAACTTCAGAAATATTTTTGACTATTACATTATTTAACATTAAATAAGTAATATATTTAGACAGTTAGACTATAATAATTATAACAATTAATGTAATACACATTTTTAAACTGATTACAAATGTAATTATTCACTCAAGTGAATTTTAAGAAAAAGGACAACACATTATCTCATAATAATATAAATATAGTCAAATCATATTTTATTTTAGACTTTAAGTGAAGCAAGGAATACATCGATTTTACAATAATTTTGTTATTTTTTGACTTTAAAATGTATAGGTACGTTAGAAATATATATTATAAGCACTGTCAATATTCTCTCGAAAATATGATGAAACAAATGAAATATACTCACTACATTTTTCCTTTTTTTTCTTACACAGAATTTGCAAGGGTTTTACGCAAAAGAAAAATAGAATCGTGTTTTTTAATTGTATGACTCAATGTAAAAAGCTCAAAGCAAAATGTAGGATATGCAATGTCAGATCATTAAAACAAAAACGAATATTGTGACATTTTTAAATATTGTACATGAACTTGTAATGATATATACTTATTTTTTGATACATTTTTATTAATAATATATGGTAAAATACAGCTATATGCAATGTTAGCATATTTAGGTCATTAGAGAGACGTCATAAAAATGTCACCAAATATGTGCGAAGCTTGCATTTAAATATAATCAAAAATACGTGACCTATTTTAATTATTATATTGTGTTCTTGCTAAACTTAACATTTACCTGACAACATAGTATTATATTTATTATTTATTATGTAGAAATTTATTTTTTATGAAATTCATAAGATTTAAAATAATTCGATTACCGATCATATACTCGTTTATGTGTTAGGTATATCTTCTATTTGTTTATTGTAAAGATCTTTTGTAATCGTATTTTTTTTTTTTTTTAAAAAAAAATTGTGTTAAATTATATTATTGTACAATAATATTACCATTTTATATGATAAAACAAATTTATTTGTTCAAAATTGACATAATATACACGAAGCATGGTGTTTTTAAAACTTATCAGCCGGATGGGACGTCGACAGGAAATAAACAAACGCCTCTCACCTTCATTCTGTGAGTAACCAGTCAACGACATCAACAAGCGCTATTACTAACAAAAGTTTCATTAGATAACATTATATTCGTTTTGAAGGAAATTCGTGACAATATCCTTTAAAATTTTACAATTCACAAAATTAGTTACCATAACTTATTTAAAGCAATTTCAATTTGACTAAGTTTCACTCTACAAAAAAGCGGTATGAATGAATTTTTAAACGAAGTGTAGTCTGAAATAGGAACTCCATTTATGTTGATAAAAACTATGTCGGTGTATGTAGTCAACAAAATTAGATAATGTGAAGAAATATAATTGAATATTGGAATACGATATGCGAAAAGCTACGTTATCAACAAAGAAAAATTCATGACAATTATGACACATTCACGGATATCACTGACATTTTTGTGTCGGATCCAGCCCTGTCACCCCACATTTATCAACAAGTTATATAAACCCAAGGAATCGAAAAACTACTACTTTCTCATATATGCATTATTTATCTTTATACTAAATGTTATAATAATGAATTGTCTATCGGTCAATAAAAGTCAACATTTAAATTAGAACAAAAAATTATATGAATTTAAAAAAATACTGTTAAAAATGTATATTTAAATGTGTAATAAACTAATAGTGCATTACACCCTAAGTAAATATTTTTGATATTGAGTTAATTTCTTAAATTTAAAAATGAAAGATTATGATAGTAACTAATATTATATACTTATGAAAAATAATCTTAGAATGTTCATTTTATTATTTTTTTTTCAATTTTATAACCCACTGAAATTTATTTTCAATTATCACATTTTATGCACATAATAATTAACAAATTGTAGTTCCAATACATCTACGTTATATGTTTGAACAACTGCGTTTTTTAAAAATTAGCATACACACCAACGAAAGTGTATAGTAAGCATACTGACATTTTTCACAAAGCTTTGGTATTAAAAATAGTACAAATTAATTTCCTCTCCGCGTTAACAATTAAATCCATCAATTTTAACGAGAAATGAAAATAACAAAGTTAAACACCTATATATTTTACACGTTGTAAAATATATAAAATAGTATGCTATAACACCGTAAAGCAATTTATTTTTAATTTAACTTGGTGGTCTCGGGGTAACTGATGAACTAATAACGACACAGCAAAACTGTACAAGCAGCATAATTAAATTACAAACTGGAAAAAACTAATAAGTAAATTTGAACCAAAGACGAATAAAAGAAACCGATGATAATCTAATCCGCCTTTTTATTTTTTATCTACTTTCAGAACACATTTCACTAAAACGACGAACCCGGATAGAATGTTATCGAGCCGAGAAAGAATAAGTTTAACCGGATACACATGGTTCCGGACTATGGATAAACGGTTATACAATTATATGGTATGTATGAACCCCAAATATCACACACTTTCATAGATATAGTAATACACAAAATGTCTAATAATGATTGTAATAATAAATGTACATACATTTCACATTCTAATGTGTAGTACGTATAATAACAATGACTCACGGTTGTTAATAGTTAAATCATCAATACCTATACGGAATAAATTTAGAACATCGAAGTACATAAAAATTAATAATATCTTATCGATGTATAATGTTTTATTAATTGTTCTCAATATTTACTAGTCTTGACCGGAACAGTTTTGACAGGCGATCACGAATTATTTTCTAAATATCAAATAAAAGAAAAAGACAATAAAATAACGGGAACAATAAATCGAAAAATAATTGAAAGTAAAACGAGTATGACTAACGATGGAATATACTTTGTATATAATTCACGTACTAGTCATTATAAAATCGTATTATTACCATAAATTAGGATAAAAATTCAATAACAATATTAAAAAATACTTGTGTAAATAACTTGTGCTGTATAGAAACCACCTTCGTAATAATAATTATATTATAATAAAAAAAAAACTCACCAAAGCAGTTCGTCACGTAACCGTCGGAAAAATATATATAACAGAACGATGACAGTGACGAAAAATAATAAATAAAAATAACGATCATCAAAATGCGATCGCTCTTGTCAGCGGAAATTCACTGAAGGAATCACAATAAGGATTAAAAGGGATCCACTAATTCCATATTATCTGGTAGTCAAGAGATTATAGTAAAATGTTACAATACATTTTTTACATGTTATGTATAGTAATAACTTGTCATTATTATTATTAGATAAGAAAGAAATCAACGAGGGTGTAGTACGGACAAGGGCCCGTCGTCGCCTGATGTAAACCATCACTTTTTAACGAGTCTCATATACATGCCACAGACAGTATAACATATATACGCTATTATGCTGAATTTTAACATTATATTGTATTTCAAAATTATACACACATTATATTTTAAAGATAAAAATGTAGTTAGCAAGTGATATCAAACATTAGTGTTCTGTCACCGCAGCAGATAGATTTAGAATGGCTTAAACATTTAAATATCATATAAACTCGTAATTATAAACATTATTATTTTAATGTATACGTAATTTGAAGACTCACTATTGTTTATTAGTAAACCCTATTTTATGTGTATTAAAAATAGAATATAATTACTCAATAATGACAAAATATAATTGTAATAAATAATATTTGTGTATTTTTTCAATTTATACCAAAAACGACGCCACGATAGATACTCAACGACATAACATTACGATATTGATAAAATCAAAAATATGAATTAATAAAAACGTTTTAATATTTTTTATTATAAACTATACTTTTTAGAAAAAATAAATATTTAAAGATATACTTATGCAAAATATACATATCACAAAAACAGTTAAAGCCATTTAAAAACTACACATTTTAAAGAAAACGGCAGTATAGTATCACGCTATGTTACTATGTCAAGTCTACAGTAATTATTTTTTAAGTTATGAAAAAAAAATTGATTTTGTCGAAAATTGGTATCCTGCATAAATGTTATCGTTTTTATTGTAAGTTTTCATTCATTTTTCCCAATTAATTGGAAAACTGTTAATATGTTCAAAATATGACCTCCCAACCAGACAAAACATTTCATCAGAAATCATCCTTCC